AACACCATTAGTTTATGGAGGATATCTCTAAAAAAAATAATAAATAAAAGTTATGGCATATTTTTCTTTTTGTCATGCTTTTTTTTAGGAAAATTATTAGTATACACTAATTTTAACATTTTTTTTATATTCATTTAGTTTATTTATTAAAAATATAATATAAATATAATTAATTTAATTGATTTCTAAATTCTATGTTGTATCAATGATCAATAGCGGGAGCCATTGTAGCATAGAATTCTTTGCTTGGCATTGCTTTTCAATTCTATTTTTGTAACCCGTTGGACCCGCCTGCCATTGATCACCTCACCAGCTCGGATGGCCTGAACATGTTTTTTCCACACCCCGTTTCATACGCCTATATGAAATTTCCATTTTCCTTTTCCTTTCCTTTCAATTGTTTTCAATGAATTATTTTGTATTTAATTTTTTTATTTAATTTTTTTTATTAATCTCTCGGTATTTGATAATTACATTAGATCTTGATTAATTCAAAATCGAGTTGTGTCGGACCTCATAAGGGAAAACTCTCTCAGCACTCGTTTTTCTATTCATAAGACTCGAATTCAAAATTTTATTTAAGCGGAATCGAACTCCTTCTACTCGAACTAACAAGTTATTGGTAAATTATTTTGTATTTAAATATTCTTGGCTTTTCAACATTTTGTTCTAATATCTTTTACATACTTTAGTGTTAAGTAATAGCAACACTTCTCTATATGTAGCTCATGCACAATATAGATTATAAATAAAACTTACTTGAATTAATATTGCATAATTTAAAAAAATTTGAAATGAAATGTAAATTTCATAATTTTTTTTTTATCTGTAAATCTCAAAGAAATATCAACAACAAACCATGTGAACAATAATTTAAACATCAGAGGAGCTTGACCTTCATCCACTAATTATTTTTGCCATAAACTTCTCCAATAGCTCAATCGGATAGGACCTAACATGCATTTTTTTACCCCATTAGATACGGTTACTATAATTTTTTTCTTCACTTTGAAATTTCTTCATCTCTCTTCTTTGTTATGGAGTTATTAAGTTTTGCAAAATAGATGCTAGACTTGTCTTTTTCCACATCCCATTGCATACGCTTATATGAAATTTCCTTTTTCCATTTCCTTTGCTTTCAATCGTTTTCTATGAATTATTTCATATCCAATAATTCTTGACTTTCAACGTTATGTTCTACTATCTTTCACACGCTTTAGTACTAACCAATAATGTCCATATACTCGGTCGCTCTTATCTTCCACGAGGAGCATGGGATGCGGATGGCTAATTAAAATGACTGAGCTCCATCGATTTTTCTTTCTGCAAATTAGAAGTCTTTCCGTTTGGTTTGGGTGGTGACTGAGGAGCAAGTAAACGAGGGTCAACTTGTACCGACAAAAACAATTGAAGCTGATTATTGCAACATTCTACAAACTTTGGCCCATTTCAAGTCATGGCTGATGCTGCCTTCCCTCTTACGTTTAAAATTAAATCAAGGTTTTCCACTCACGTGATTCTATCTAAGTACTTATTTTATTTTTTAATAATTAAGTTGTATAAATATAACAAATTTAATTTTAATTTTAACAATTAATCAATTACGTTAAAATATATAATATTAATGTTAAAATCAATATTATCAATTTTTTTAATTTTTATATAATTTAATTACTAAAAATATACTAATTATATCTTTAATATATACCTAAAAATACAAATTAAAAAATTATTAAATAATATTCTTATATGAATTATTAAATAATACAAATTAAAAAATTATATACCTTAAAAGCACTGGTTAAAAAAATTTATTAAATAATGCTCTAATATAAATTATTTTCAACATCCAACAAACTTGGGCTATTTCACGTCATGGCTGATGCTGCCTTCCACTCACTTTTAAAATTAAATAGTGTTCTAAGATAAAAAATAATATTTAATTTATTAACTGTTTAATTAAATTTATTTATATTATCTTGACAATAAAATTAATATTTATTTTTACATTTTTCTATATAAATTTATTGTAAAAAGGTGCCCTGCACAGGTTAAAAAAATTCATTATTTTTCAAAAGAAATTATTTTTATTTAGGGTAATATTTATTAAGATTGAATTTTAAGATATAAATTTTAAATTAAAATTATTTTAATTGTAAATTATTCCTTCCATTTTTTTTAGTTGACATAATTTGAATTTTTGACTTTTTAACTTTTCAGACATAAATTTCAAATAAAAATTTAACATATCATATAAATGATAATTAAATATTTTTTCATCAAATTAAAATACTTAACAAGAAGTTTATTTTAAAAAAATTTTAATTGTTATTTATATAAATTGTTAAATTTTTATTTAAAATTTATATTCAAAAAATTAAATTAAATCTATTAAAAATGAATAAAAAGAATATATAAGAGCATATGAGAATTGAACCATAATTAATATTTATTTTAATTTAATTTAGTTGTTTAACTTTTACCTAAAGTTTTAGCAAAGAATTTTATGCATGAAAAAACTAAGTATCAACTTGTAATGTTAATTTTTAGGCGAAACGCATTTAATAAAACGATGTTGTTCAGCATTTAAAGCACAACTTAACATGAAAGCAACTTTATGATTTATATTAAAAAATGTACTTTCATTTGAAGCTTTGTTCTCAAAATTTTTTCACTAAGCTAACTTTTTTTCCGTCTAAGCTAACTTTATTCTCAAATGATAACATGCAACTTGAAGCACATACCATACGTAGTGCAAGGGCCGACCTGTGTCGGGGAAGGATTAGGCATAAACCGTACCATTCTCTCAAAAAACTTTTATAATTTTAAAGGTTTATAGTTGTAAAGTCCTACTCATTAAAAAAGGTTAATATTATGACTTTTTAATTTTGAATCTTGTTGATACAAAAATATAATAGATTCTTTCTACCCATTAATCAAATCTGGTTCCGCCATGCAAACGTGGAGGCTTTGCCATAAAGTATATCAAAATGAGACATAATTAATGGATGGGCAAGGCTGGAAAAGCAAACAAAATGGATGGGCTTAACAACAAATCAAGCCCATTTGTGCATTTTATTATGTTTATAGTGATTTGGATATTAATTCATTTTATAGTTATATTTTCTACTTAATGTTAAAATGTTTTATATTATCTCAAATATTTAATAGTATTAAAAACTAATCAATCTGACTGAATCACACCAATCCAATTTAAATTAGATTAGTTTGGCTATCATATAACAGTGGACTGAATTGATTTAAAAATTTTACTAATGAATTAAATTGGATTGGTTTAAAAAATATTAAAATTCGAATCAAACCACTCTACAAACACCCCTATTCACAATATTCGAATTTGAGATTTTATTGAAGAAAAACTAAATTTCTTCTACTCGGATTAACAAATCGTTGGTGCAAAGATTCTATTTTTTCATATATTCCCACTTTTTCATGTTGCACCATCTAAGCAATTTTTTTTAAAATTAAAATTTAGTCATAAAGAAACAATGAGAATTTTGCCTCCCATTTTCAAGCTCCATTGTAGATCATGTAGCTGTTTATACGATGCTACACAATTAAAATCATGAAATTTTATTAATTTAGCTAATGAAATTATGTTGGACTAAATGAAATTAAAATAAATTTAAAAGTTAATAAATGATTTAAAATTATAATTTATATAAAAGACGAAAGGCCATTTCTCAACAATGGTTATGACTACCATTATTTTTGCTGGGTTTATTAAAGTTATTAAAATTTTATGTTAATTTGATTGTTAAAATTAATTAATAATTGATAAAATAATTAATGTTTATTATTTAATATATTAAAATTAATTTATAAATAAATATTTTTAAGTATCATAATTATCTGTTAACAAAAAAAATTAAAAATTAATAAAATTATAGGTAAAATTAATAACTTTTAAAAAAAGAGACTGGTAGCCTTAACAAAACAGAAAAAAAAGGGGAAAAAAAGGGCTGGTGGCCATTCCCTTAGCCCCATTCCTTCCTTAAAAGTTTAAATCCTTCATTAATAAGAGAGAACGCCCATGTTTGAAGAACTTCTTGTGGACTGGTCGCATGGTGCTTGGCTTTATCCGCCACCGTGCGCGCTTGAGCCTAAATGGCTTGCTCGCGCTCCAGCAGCGCCCCCACATAGTTCAGAGCTAGCCTACCAATGTATTTATGATAGCTCGTTTTAGATACCATACTCAATAACATGCACAAATTGAGCTACGAGCAGAAAGACTTACGTCCATCAACTTAATCATTACCATGTTGCTCCCATGCTGATGGAGGAGCTCCCTTGTACCATGGCCACGTGGCAATCCATCTTGGCATAGTTTAATCGCTCCTGATTCTTTATATATGTACTAGATAAGTATTACCACACCATCCTCAGTTTTCTTCCTTTTTACTATTTTTTTTTCTTGTTTAAAATTTCAATATTGTCTAGGTTCCCCTAGGCGTGTAACAATTTAAATAAGTTTTTCAGCAAAGAAAGGACATATTTTTTAAATTTTCTTTTAATTTTGATTGAATTTCTTAAATGACAATTCATATAATGTTCTTATTGATGTATGTTTTGAATTTTAAGTTGACGAACTCAAAAAACGTATTTGCTAATTTCTTTTCTTATATATTTCACTATTTTACGGCTCCATTATAGATAACAGAAAATCAAGACAAAGTTGCTGAAAAAAGCAGAGGTGATGCTTTGTAATATATCACAAGTTAATGCAGAGAAATACGCTTAAAAAAAAAAAAAAAAACACCATAAGATTTTAGAAAAATCTACTCCCATAATGATTGAGTTTAAAACTTTAAGAGTTTAATTTATTAATAAATAAGTTGTTATGAAAAGATATTAATTTTAAAATATGTACAAACTATTTTAAAAATATTTTGATTATTCAAGTAAAACAAAATTATACAATGTCAATTGATATGAATATCAATGATTGAAAAAAATGATAAGAACATCACTTTGTTTTGATATACTGATATATATATAATCTATGCTTATGAATTGGAAAGTAATCTTAAAAAAAAAAAAAAAAAGACAGTAAAGATGAGAAAAGATCATCATTGATAGCTTTATTCATGTAATGATCTGGGTATTTTTTTATCAACCAACAAAATAAAATTTTTATTAAGAAGTGAGTATAAGGGTTCTCAAATCTGTACAAGTAATTCAGCAATGATCAGACCCAATTAATGCAAGCTGTACTGTTCTCGCCATCGAGACAGCACAAACCAACTGGAAGTATAGATTAATTTCCTGCAGCTTCCAGTGCTTCTCTAGGTGAACGGCTCCATGATCTGGGTATGTTGATGGAAAGCTTTGCATTGATTGCTTAATTAAGTGCTAATCTTGCTAAAACCAAGCAATTCTCGGGCTTAGTGGAGATTATTACCCAAAATACATTTTGAATTGAAATTAAGAGAGTTTGTATGACTGTGAATTTGAAAATAATACGAATAATGTGTTAACAAATTAAGTTGGTGGAGACTGTAGAGTCTTCCTTTGTGGCATGTTCTGTCTTTACATGTGTATGATGAATTTGTTTTTAGAGAGCAATGTTAGGCACAAAGCCCCTTAAAGTACATCGAGTTTAATCTTGTCAACCTAGCACGAAAGCAACTTTATAATTTATATTGTAAAATGTACTTACATTTGGAACTAACTTTGTTCTCAAAATTTTTTCACTAAGCTAACATTTTTTCCGGCTAATCTAACTTTATTCTCAAATGATAACATGCAACTTGAGGCACATACCATACGTGCGGTGGCGGACCTATGTTGGGTTAGGGTACATAATGGATGGGTAAGGCTGGAATAGCAAACAATATGACTGGGCTTAACAGCCAATCAAGCCCATTTTGCATTAACCATATTGAGCTACCCTAGCCCATTCCTTGATGGGCTAGGCTACCGAATTGCCAATCTAGTAGCAGAAGGCTTCATTTTGATCTACAATCCGATTTGGGGTTTGGGGGTTGGGAGGGGTGGGGTGGGAACGAAATGACTTGAATGAGCCTCTAATTCTTTTTACACGATTGGCTGCTTGACATCGAGGAAATCCACAAAGTTATGCTTTTCATGGAAAGACCATTCTAAGGAAAAAGAAAAAAAGGTAAAATTGACAAAAAAAAAAAAAAAGAAGAGTAATTTCTTTCATGAAAACCATTGACTATAAATTATTAGAGACCGCGCCTATATGTTCGAAGAATTTCTTGTGTAGGAGATTAAGTGAAATTGCCATTTTTCTTGTGGAACGCCTGAGTTTGTCTCATACACTTACTTGGGTTTGCAATCTTTCTTTCTTTCTTTCGTTCCATTTTTTTTTTTAAACGTTTTAACTGTTACTCAGAGCAGCACGATTTGTGATTGTATTTTCTTTCTCATGTTTCTAAAGTGAGTAACCCAAGTTAAGAATACTTTATTCAATTCTTGTGTTGGTGCTGCAAGCTTTGGAGGGTGTAAACAATGACTTCAATACCCTGTAAGATCAGATGGATAAAAAGGCAGCAGTGCCCTTATGGAGACAGGAAATATTACTAATTAACATATGAAGGAGATACTGATGAAACATCCCAATTGGCTAAAGAGTGTTATTATTCAGATTTCCGCTGCTTATAGGATTTTTGTTCAGTTTTGCTACTGCAGCTGCCAGCTAATTTCAAGGATCTTCTTCCCATTCAAACTTTAAACCACAAAATGAAAAGTCAGTTTGCCTCTCCAATTACGGAGCCTTAAGTGGTATTTTCAGGGCCCACATTACCATACGTTTTGCCTCTCTTTATGTATGTATTAGATAAGTATTACCACACCATCCTCAGTTTTCTTCCTTAATTACTTTTTTTTTTCTTATTTAAAATTTCAATATTCTCTAGGTTCCACCTAAGTGTATCACAATTTAAATAAGTTTTTCAGAAAAAAAAGCACATATTTTTTAATTTTCTTTTAATTTTCATTGAATTTCTTAAATCACAGTTAATATAATATTCTTATTGATGTATGTATTGAATTTTATGCTTATGAACTCCAAAAAGGTGTTTGATAATTTTTTTTTTCTTATATATTCTTCATTATGGATAACAAAAAAGCAAAACAAAGTTGCTGAAAAGCGGAGAGGTGATGCTTTGTAATATATCACAAGAACATGAACATAAATACACTTGTAAAGAAAACTACATAAGATTTTAGACAAATCTACACACATAATGAGAGACTTTTCCACCACATCTCATCCAAATATCGATAGTATGCATACCTCCATTGCCTACTAATCACAAGAGGACTCAATACACTCCAAAATCCAAAAATAAATCCAATTGCCATGCTAACAAACAACCAATTTACTTTATCTCCATCCGTATCTTTCTCCACATTGTTTCCAGTGCCAAGTACTCTTTGATTAACTTCATTGCAGTTCTTCATTAGTGGAAGGCCACAAAGTTCATTTCCAGCATAACTAGATGCATCAAAGCTCTGTAACTGAGTACCTAAAGGAATTTTTCCAGTCAAATGGTTGTCAGAAAGGTTCAAGTAGCTTAGAAATGACAATTTGGACATGCTTTCAGGGATTGGCCCAAGTAATTTGTTTACAGAAAGATCAAGAGATTCTAGTGAACTCATGTCACCAATATTTGGAGGGATCCTTTTGGTGAAATGGTTGTGTGACAAATTTAGCGATTGTAACCCCTGAAGCTTAGTTATTTTCCAAGGAATATCTCCAAATAAGCTATTATCTGACAAATCAAGGACTCTTACCAAATTAAGAGTCCGATCATATTCATAAAAGTTGCCTTTCACCATAAGAAATAAATTCTCAATAAAATAATTTGGTGTGCCATAGTAAATGTAGTTGTCAAATAAGCCATTTATAGAATAAACCATGGCACTTAAGTTACCAACACAACTTGGTAAGTTTCCCAAAAGCTTATTATGAGCAACATCCAAGACATGGAGAAAATTGAGTGCACACAACTCTCTAGGTATATACCCTGAAAGCTTGTTTGAACGAAGGCTCAAGATTGTCAAGTGTGAAAGATTATGACCCATCCATGGCGGGATGTTCCCAACCAATTCATTTTCACCAAAATCAAGGGTTTTCAAAGTTGTACAATTACTTATGGACATAGGAATTTCTCCTGAAAGGTTATTTTTACGAAGATGCAATGATCTAAGGAATTGTAAAGTTCCTACAGAGCTCGGAATTTTACCAGTAAATCTATTATTTTCTAATACAATGACCTCTAAATATGGCATATTGGACCAACAATCTGGTAACTCTCCAGACAAAAAATTGTTGCCAAGATTGAGAATATACATTTGATATGTGGTTTCATTGACCCCAAGACATAAAAAGTTGAAAAGGGAACCTGAGAAGAGATTATGGGAAAGGTCTAAGATAATCGAATAGAAGAAGATTGGAGATATTGGATTATTAAAGCTATAAATACTTGGAAGTTGCCCATGAATCTGATTTTGAGAGAGATTCAAATATCTCAAATGATGAGAGAAGTCCAAAAACCATTTAGGGATTGTACTTGTTATTCCAGAGTTTGAGATATCTAAATATGTTAGGTGTGTTTGAGAAGAAAGCCAAGGTGGAAATTGTGGTCCTAAATGCCAAGATCTTAATTCCAACCTTTGAATTTGAAAAGGAGGAATCCAACCAGGATCAACCTTCAAAATCAGTGGGTTCCCATTTGCAATCAAAACTAACAATTTTGTGAGGTTAAAAAGGTGTTTCTCAGAAAAAGTACCCTCCAAAAAATTATTTGATATATCAACTTCTTCTAAATTGGAAAGTTGACCAAATAACTTAGGAAGGTTTCCTTTGAATTTGTTATGAGAGAGATATAAAATTTTCAAGGATGAAAGCTCTCCTATGGATTCTAGTATTGAACCAGAGATAGAGTTTTCAGATAAATCCAACTCTCTCAAATTCTTAAAGTTCCCTAATTGGTTGGTTAATTGTCCATAGAGCTGACAATTATCCAAGAACAATGACTCTAATTTATTAGAAACACATACAGAAAATACTTCTAAGACATTTGATATGTCTAGACTCAAATTAACACTAGAGAAAGAGAGTGACCTCAAGTTGCAAAGATTTCCTATTGATCTAATTGGGATTCGACCTTCAAAACTATTATAGGATAAATCAAGATCAACAATAAAGTTCATTTTGTCTATCTCACTTGAAATTTGACCTTTCAAATCATTAGACTGAAGATTTAGAGACTCAAGAGGAGCAAAAGTGTACAACCAATTAGGTATTGAAGAATTGAAATAATTGTATGACAAATCAAGGTGCTTCAACAAAGTCAAATTTCGAAGACCATAAGGGATTGAACCCTCAATATCATTATCACATAGATCAAGGGAAATCAGGTTTTTTAGACCAAAAACCCA